ACCTCGAACTTTACGACCTGAGCCGGCATGACCTTCATCATACACAACCCTCACATATTTTTGGAAACGCGCCAGTCAGTTCGGTTCATATCATTACGTTGTTTACTATTGCCATCACCTGTAAGGTTTGACCTCACAGCTTCTTGACCTCGAAATATGTTTCACGGTTAAGGCCATTTCAAACGCACACTTTACAGCTGTACAACAACTGGATACACAGGTTCGGTATGCACATAACCAAGAATGCGTCGCGGGCGTAGATTTTTCATGTTAGCGGTGCGCAAGAGTTTTGAGAACGCGAGACCGTAAAATCGTACATCTTATTTCTGGTCGCAGATCAGTTGTCTAACACAGCGGGGGCTGTAAGGAGACACAAAAGTTTCGAAACTTATCTCACTTACGCCGAACTGCAATGCACTAGGTGGTTCGGGAGATAGCTCTAAAAAAGGAGGCGATCGGTGTTCCACCATTTTGTCTTGACAAAGTAAACACCGCACGATGACAGAGTGTGTCCAGTCTATAACGTGGCATAATTTTCAAATGCTGCGCAAAGCATGGTGAGGGGGGGGGGGCAAGCGGTGAAAATTTTCCCCTGATTTGGCCCACTTTTCTCAAAGTTGGGGGCTGGGCCCCCCCCCCCCCCCCTCCTCGCAACTAAAATTGAACTCACCAGGGTCAAGGTCACGGACCCCGCCGTCCAGCTGAAGCCAGGGCGCTCAGGAGTATGCTACGGCTTAACTTTCAACTGTTCTCTAAGGTCCCATCAATATTGCACCATCAGAAGTAATAAGCAATGCTAATATATATTGATAGCAATTGGAGCAGCATGATTAAAATGACAGCACCGTACAACTTACAAAGAAATGACGCAGTGAGACGTTATTGCATCATAAGTAGTAACAGAGAGTGTTGATACCCATGTATGATTATAACAGTTACACTATTAGGATAATAGTAGCGCGCAGTTAACAAAGGAATGAAAAAGTAAGGCTAAGTTAAAGCAATTAAGTTAATAAATGATAATGACAATTTAAAACGTCTCGACACCGGTATTCGGTTGCGCTGGACACAGCCTGGACACAGATCCTGGACACAGAGCCTGGACACAGGGCCTGCGCGAAGCGGCGGTCATCTCGCGTTGCTGGGCGGTGCGTAGATGAGGACTCAGCGTGTCATCTACGAACGTGGCGGGTCAGTGGCGCGCTGTCGGACCGTAGGCCCGTCCCGGTAACGCACACCAAGCCTGTCCCTGCTATCGGTGGCGTCAACCGTACCTCCATCGCTATGTCTTGGTGGCCCGGTTTGATAGTCACCGGGGCGATCCTGACATTTCTGCCCAGTTTCCGCTGGGCTTCACGGGAACGTGGGCGCAACGCCGTCGCTCAGCGTCACTGAGCCTGCTGAAACGCCCTGCCAGCTGCTTCATTACGGGCCTTCCCGCTGGCATGTGCGTGGTCGGCGACTTGGGTGTGGCCGCACAGATCTGTCGTGGCTCTGACCGGCTAATCCGCTGTGTCCCTTTAGGCCATTGTGGCCGGCTTGCCACTCTGTGTTCAACTTGTCCGCTGTTGTCGGTGTGGCCGCTATGGTCGGTGTGGCCGCTGTGTTCGGTGTGACCGCTCTTGTCGATGTGACCACTGCGGTCGTTGTGGCCGCTGTGGTCGGTGTGGCCGCTGTGTTTGGTGTGGCCGCTGTGGTCGGTGTGGCCGTCGTGGTCGGTGAGATCGCTGTGGTCGGTGTGGTCGCTGTGGTCGCTATGGTCGCTATGGTCGCTGTGGTCGATGTGGCCGCTGTGGTCGGTGTAACCGCTAATATATTTTTATTCGTCCGGTCCGATCAATTAAGATACGGTTTAAAAGAGTTCAGAGTCTTCGTGCTGATGGAAGTGTGCCATGACGTTATTGGTGGAGTGGCGTTATAAAGCAAATAATAATGAATTTGTCAATGCCGGACATTTTAAGCTATGCTTATGATCACGGGAAGCAGACTTCTTCGAGTGGCATCCGGTAATGTACGCGGTCGATTACTAAAGGTCTGCCAGCACAAACACTCTGAGCTCAAGTCAAAGAACTTTGAGCTCGAGACATTTCTTTCTTGTACCAAGAAGTCTGAAGAAGCGAAGCCAACAACGGGCAGCCTGTCACCCACCGCTGAAACGAGAGCCGGCTACCCAAGCTCAACATCGCCCACAAGGCACCTTGTCATAGCTTCCTTTTTGTGCAGGAAATAGGGAGGGATGTTATAAAAAGATATTTCAAATTCTACCTCGGCCCACCACTAAGACAGGGTGATCGTTTGTTTTCAGGCTTCTGATAACAATGGCATTCTTCGAACAAAATTGCTGTGACGTTGAAATCATTATAACTAATCTCTACAGATATAAGAAGCAGAAACCAAGGTGTTATGGCCTCGCCATCTGCTGTGAAAGTTGGATATTGTCACCAAGAATGCATGGAAGGAATCTGCACCGAAAGAGACTGGAATCTTCCACTCCAGGACATTTCTGCACCCCACGGTTTTATGCGACAAAAATTATTCTGGCATGTTAAAGGCCAGAGGAACGTTTCCGCTCATAAATCACTCCATCGCAGGACTTTCTAAGTGAAGTCCTTCACTAACGATATCCAAACGCATGCGACGCCAATCGGGCCCACGCGCTGAAATCAGCCGTTGTGGTGTGGCGCTTGCCCTGATCTGCCTCCCGCTCTGTGATGATGCTCGGAACAGCACTGCTAGACAGCGCCCACTGCCTCACGCTCTGTGGCGATGCTCAGATCGGCACAGCTAGACAGCGCCCACAGCCTGTGAAGCGTGAGGATTAGGCAGGCAGCTTCCAGATGAGCCTATGTTGTGCTCTAACAAGCTTCAACACACCGGGAAAAAAGAAAGGAAGGGATCTGCATTCCATTTTCGAACTGAGGTTTGAATAGCAAATTGGATTGCAGATTCTAATATCCTACGATCTAACTCGAATGGTACCGCTCTTCACCATGAAAAGCTCCAATTCTATATTTACTTAGATATTTGATACAAAAAAGAACGTTTAAAGATGCAATTACGTTGTTTTGATCGACCATCAAAGCACTTGTTTAACCCGACGACGTGATCTGAACATCCAAAATGATCTGTGTTAAAGCTGCCTTTTTCAAGTTATATTTAATTCGGATATTGACGGATACCGGTTCGACGGGTAATTCCTCATTTCATTTTTGCATTCACAAACAGCCAAACGGCGGCTACGAATTCCAAAGCAAACTTACTGAGCTTGAAATGATCACGGCGTAGCACGAAAGATCTGAGAACCTGTCATAGCCGGGGACGAGTTCTGGTATAAAACGACAAGGGGATGAGGGGCTGGTCAGGTAATCTTATAGCAGCGTATTTCAGAGCTCATATGAGAGTCTAAAACATCAAAGTTCCAAGTCATCCGTTGGATCGCGTGGATCATCTGTGACCCGTCTTGAAAGCATCACGGCTGTATCAGCTTGCAATTAACCATACGCTGTTAGAAACCCGAAGTAGAGAGGAATTTCAGTAAATATTGTATAGGGCGTGGAAATCACAATTACTCAGACTGAGAATTTACGGACTCGACCATTAATTGCGATTTCCATCTTTCAAAAAAAGACGCATCTCGCGGCCGTCACAGTGACACCCTTGGCTCTCCTGCGCGTGACATTAACAGCCTTGGTTCTCCTGCACGTGACACTGATGCCCTCGGCTCTGCTGCGCGTGCCATTAACACCCTTGGTTCTCCTGCACGTGACACTGATGCCCTTGGCTCTGCTGCGCGTGACACTGACGCCTTGGCTTTTCTGCACGCCAAACACCTCAATGACGAGGCCGCATCTTCGCGATTCCTACTCCCCTCCCCTCTTTGGCGACCGAGCCCCGGCCGTGGTGCTCGTCGCCCAGGGGCTCAAGGCGGCAGTACCGGCGGCACCCGGCGCCGTCGCGCCCCCATCCCGGCGGGCGCGCCTACCTTGGGCCGGTGGAGCTCGCACCTGCCACCCTCAGCGGCTGCAGCTGCACACGGCCGCCCCATCATGCACATGACCCGCATGGTGGTCGTGAAGCCTGTCAAACGACGCGGCGCACGTGGGGGGGGGGGGGGGCTGGGGTCGCCAGTGACGCGAGGGCCTCACAGCGGGCCCTCGCCGGAATATCGAGCTCGGATGTGTCTTTTCGGATTCGCTTCTATGTGCACTGGGTGGATGGAACGTAACTTTCCAGAAGTGATTGGGAACGTACGCTGCAGTAATTCCAAACTTTTTAGAGCCATTCTCTCCATGCATCGACTCACACTAAAATCGGAAGCATCAGAGAATTCCCGGGATCGTCAAAAGTATGCAAAGTGCCACTCTTTCGGACGGCCTAGAAGGCACAGCCGGCGAGTGAAGTTTTGTCGCTGGATCCTTGTCTATTGAGGCTCTTTCCGATGACATTAACAGCCAGACAAAAAATTCGATGTCCATGAAGCGGCGATTCTGTCCATGATACGCGAGTCTGAACTGACACACTGTTCGCAAGCACTCTGACTTCAAAGTGCCTGTGGAAATACCAAAAGCAAATTGCCAAAGCCGTGTAGTGTGCAGAAAAGCCATGTCGTCGCTCTGCTTCAACATGGTGTCAAGTGTCAAACGGCCATAGGAACATTTGTTTTCTCCGTACTAACCAGATAGCAATTATACGTCGCATGTGATGCCCGCTATGACTCACCACCTCACTCCCAACCTTCGAGGGTCACACAGAGCACAGTTGCGAGAATGTCAGGGGTCTGTGTCCACCTGATGCCGGATGGAGGAGTGGAGCTAGACCGGGAGCCATCTAAGATTGTCACTCAATCCTGGCAATCGGTGTGAATCACCCGCCCAGTGCCAAGGTGCGGAGGCGTCTCCTGCCGTTTTTGAGACGCCCATCCAGTTCCAAAGTGCGGAGACGTACTCCTGCCTGTTTCGCAGGTTCTGCCCGCCAGTTTTGCGAGGCTCATGTTGCCTCACCTGGGCCTGGAGACCTGCGAGTAATAGTCGTCCAGCTTGCGCAGAAAGCTGAGTGTCTTGGCCATGTCCTCCCGGTCCCGCGTGTAGCGCGCCATGTTGGGGTGGGCCGAGCCCGGCCGGATCAGAGCCAAGGTGCAGACGACCAGCGCTAGCAGCAGCAGTGTCCTGTGCATCCTCTGCGGACACAGAGGCAGACAGCGTCAGACATGGAGACCATCTCCACTGGCGGCAGTAGTGTCCCGTGCATCCTCCGCGGACACAGAGGCAGACCCGCATTTCATTTTTCGTTCCAGCTTATCCAGCGATGGTATTCGGACTTCAGTGTTATTGCATTCGAGCAATGGCAGTTGTGCAAAGTCACGCACGGTTGGACTTATTTGAGGCCTCCCGGTCCGGATATTTGCACGACGTTTCGTTGCCTAGCGGGCCTTACGCAATCCACTGAAACTTGAAAACATAAGGGACTCCTCCACACAGCCAACACAAGTCACTGTGTAAGTTGTAGAAACTTGGCAACTTTTGAAATAGCCAGGCTGAAACACCACAATGTGTCCATTATGCGAGAAACGAACATGTTAAACAAAGGTATTTTGTAACGACACATGCTCCCAAGAAGGCTGTTGCTTGATGCCTGTCCCACGTCTAATACAGCTTCTCGTACAATAAAAACCTAAAATTTAAGTTTCGGGCGAGGTTGCCATAAAAAGGAGGAAGGGTGCCGTTATGGCACATGTATTGTCAGACAGAATCGGTAATCAGAAATGAATCGACACATTACAGACGAACATAAAGCTTTTACTGTGTCAGATTAAAACACACACGCGAGTCCTTAAGGTTGACGCATCCTGCTCGTGGATGTTTGTTTAAGTGAGCTCCGTCACCACATAACCATCGGAAGACATCGACCTTACAGTAAGTATGGCGAGGAATACTCAGGTCCGAGATTGTATTGATATTGCATCATAAAAGATGTAAGCCGAAGATCAGTGTGTATTCGGAATGTCGTGCACTCTCATAGTCATGATTCCGAAAGGGTCATCTAACAACGAAGCGTCCTCACCGGACAGTTTCCTACGATACGGTACGTGTGAAAATGCCTTCCTGACGTTGTTCTCGTTGGTTTATTTCTCATCCGGGCCAGGCCTCGTTACGTTACCTTAAAACTGTGCAGTCCAGTGATTAAATTACACATCACTGCTTCTTGAAAGACGATTCTCATATTGTGGTGCTATGCTGCATCTTTGTCAAGTTAATTGCAAGGAAGACAAGTTAATGAAAGACTGGTAACATCTTATGTGTGCTTTCCAAGTGAGCCCAAGTGCCTTTAACTCATTAAGTAATCCCATTTTGAGCTTACTTAGCTCGCAGAAAATTCTGATGATGACTATCATCTCGGATTAAGAGTGCTTCAAGGAATGCACTTTATTGCTACCAAAGTCTCACCACCTCAAACCCTACGGTCGCATTCGTGCGGGCAGAAGAGTGCCCAAGATGCATGCACTCGCGCAGCTTCTTCGTGGACCTCGTGGCTTTTATGGCGGCCGCCGGCCCCGCTACGTCCCCTCTGCAGCGACCAGCAGCTTCGCCTCTTGGAACCCAGGTAACGAGGTAGCCATCCGCCGCCGGCCTGAACTGCCGCCCGGCTACGGGCAGCCAGACGACGGGGAATAGCGGAATGGGGGGAGGGGGAGGAGGGGGGGGGGGGGGGTTGCGCTGGCTCCAGCGTGCAAACTCGGCCAGGACTGCCGGGGGGAGAAGATACGCATGCGACCCAAAGCGCGACCTTTATGGCTTAAGCAGCCCAGAGACGACAGCTTCGTGAAGTTCGGACCAATCAGGCCCTTTGCTGCAGTTTCTGCAAGTAAAGTAACGCATTCATTTGAGGCTACGCCTCGCGTTTGCCGATTAAGTTTCGTCGGGTTCTTTGCTGTACTTGTTGCGGATACACTGACGTCTTCATTCGACACATGGCTTCACATTTGCAGGTCAAGGGTCGATTTTGGCTGCTGCACTGAAACAGAACAAATTGTGGACGACCTGACGACCCAGTACTTCAATGGAAACGAAACATGCAGCCGTGCCGACATACTAAACAAGGCATTGCCAGTTGTTTTGGCAAACTAGCCCGGCTAGTGATATGATACCCGCTTATGACTGCTCATCGCATGGATACTTAAGACGGAGAAATCCTTTGCAGCTACACAAGATGTGAAACATATGCACCACGAAGCCAGCATTGTGACACTGAGAATAATACACTATTACGAGGATCTACTGTTGAATTAATTCAGAATGAATTGCAAGCCGCGCATTGCAAATGTTAGTACTGGCTTATAATTTAACACAATGCATGTATGTCGAGCGCGATGAGTAGCCTGGAAACAAAGACTTCACTACCCAGCGCTGCGCGGATCTATCCTTTTCGTGACGCCGCCAACGTCGACCGATTCCGTCCGCTGCTAACAAGCATTCTTGAAGGCCGTGCTTGTTTGAGCCATCTGTTGCACATGTATGTCTGCTTATCTCGCCTCGAAGTAAATATTGCAAGTGCTTGCCAAGCTGCAGTGTTATCAACTCGACCAAACACTATTGTGCTCTACGAAAGATTGGCTCCCTGTTTCGTTCGACCATGGTCTAACGTTGTGGAGCCTGTGGGGAATGAAATGCGCAAATCTTGACGCTGTTCATTCATAAAAAATGATGAAAGACAGCCGGCAGAAATTACACTGGCATACGCCGACAAACTGCTGGACAAAACACTGAAAGAGGCGAAGTCCCACCCAGTATACGGGCATATCGCAAATTGCATTCCGAGCATACTTGACACTGTTCGTAGGCATGAAAGACCAGTTCTACCAACTACACGACATAACCATCGACCTGACAACATTTGTCCCAAACCATTTTGAAATCTGCCAAAGTTCAGCTCACTTCGGGTGTCGATAAAGTGCACGCCGTGACGTCCTGACGGCCCCGACGGGTCCGTGACAGTCCTTCGCGATGTCATGACAGAGACAGAACGTCCGTGACCGTCTGCGGCGAAATCGTAACGCTCACGCTCGATCTGTGGCAGTTCACCGCGTTCTCAGATTGAGCACGTCAGGAAAACTTGACAGGGATGATTGGAAGCGCTTCACACTATCGTGACGTTTCCCAGTCACGCTCTCCAGTGAGAGGGGACCGTGACGGTCTGACCTTTCAGCCCGTGATGGCCCAGCGACATTCAGCTCGACTGTACAGCCCACCCACGAAATCAGAGCCGAATTTCCGAATCCAGATCGGTTAGACCATGCGATGGAGCGGCGACCTCATTGTGTGGCGCCCAGGCCCAGACATGATGTCCACCGATCGCAGTCAGAGCGGTCGCATCATGCTGCCTTGCTGGCCGTGATGGTCCGGCGCACGCCGGCCGGATGGTCGGACAGCTGCAGTGCAGAGCTCATCTCCCCGCCTTTTCGTACCGTGCAACGCCATGGGGTTCATTTCAAAGCTGCCAAAGCTTGGGTGCGCCTCCACGTCATGCTGGGCGGGATCCCGCGAGTGGTGCTTCGCGCCATTGCGGCAATTTCTTGTCGCGCGCACGTGGCTCATGGGGCATTTGGAGCGTTTGGAGCGACGCATCACCAGTTAATGTTCTCAGAACACAAGTTCACTGTAAATGTTACGAGACTCCATGGCACGACTCGCAGAGACATGGAGAGCTTTTACGTGCCGACGATGTGTCGTTCGTTTCCACCCCTGACGTCACGGATATGCCACTCGTCATGACAACGCAGCAGTTCACTGAAAGCGCACACAGAGATTTATACAAAATCAAGAAATATTATGGTGTCTTGCGTCAGCTTTGCAAATATTGGTTTCAGTAAGCCTTGGCCAAGCAGTAGCGTTGTAATAAACTTACATACATATTGCATCAGCAATATTTTTTGAATCTTCTGCGAAACTGAAAATGTCCTCAGTTATTTGTCAGGCTAGTTACTACGTGTCGTAAAAACCGCACCCGTCTGGAAGCTGACCTACATTTTAACTTACGCACAAGATGCATGCACCTGCCCTGACAACGCAAACGAACATCATCTTTAGAAACGACTAGCTGACGTGGCGTAATTAGTGTAACGGACGCGTAGGCTATCGTTTAAAATGATTTGTAGCATGCGCCGGCCTCCCACCTCTTCCCGAGTGCGCCACGAGCGGCTGACATTACAGGCGCGGCGGCCGGGGGAGACGGTCGGCGAGTCAGAGAACTCTGCTGGAGCTGAGCACACCGGTCGGCCTCCAAGTACTGGATACGAGAAATGGGTTAGGACGGTAGTGATGAGCGCACAGTTGCACATGAGAGGGCTAGTGCGAGCTTGCTCAGCGCCGAGTTTCCAGAGAGCTGGACGCTTCTCTGTGCGACGGAAAGGCTTGTGTCATACGAGCCAACGCTGGCGGGCCGCGACATTAGCTTTCTGCTCGCGTCCGTCGGGTCTTGTGATTTGTTGATGGGGGGGGGGGGGGGGCGAGGGGAAGGCTGAATAGGTCTGTGGAAAAATATGTCAATCGGTCATTGTAGCATGGTTAAGCCTTCATAACGGATAATCAGACAAAAGCTGCTGGGGGCGGGGGGGGGGGGGGGGGGCTGCGAGGACTTATCGATTCGGTAAAATCAGGACTAAGGAAAACGAAAACAATGTCTCGAAGCGTAGTTATGGACACATTTTTCATTGGCCAATCGTCTTCTTCGATCGCTAGCGTCAGACTGCCAGCCGCGTGCAAAGTTCACATGTGCCTCTTCCACGCCAGGCGGAGGGCTCCTGACGAGAAGGCCCGCGTTCAACCAGCGTTGGGAAATATTATAATGGTTTTTGGAACATGACGCTTGTGAAGGCAGTGAGACGCAAAACTGAGATTGGAAACTGGAATTGTTATGAAAAGAGTAGCACTCGCCACAGAAGAGATAGCTAGTTGCCAATAGCTCAGGTAAAAGGCAAGGCAAAGCTCTCATATGGTCTGGATAAGCTAAGAGCCACCAGCTCCCTCGATGCCATCGCAGACATTAGAACAAACTGAGACGACGCCAAGGAAGAGGATATCAATTTTACGCGGACCGATGTCACGTAGCGGTAAGAGGTAACGACAAATCGGTCCTGGGAACCGAACACGGCAGCTCTCAACACAATGACATGGTCCTGAGGAACAAACTTCAAGCAAAGATTACCATCAAAAACTGGAGGCGGTGATGGGTCTGGACATTGAGCCAGCAACCGGCTAAGAAGCTCAGTTTGGGCCACGGTATCGAAATTCGAGAGAGCGAACTACACCAGTCAGCCGTCCTCGGCGCATTATCGAAGCAGCTGTTATTATTACACTGACAATCCATTTCGAATGGCGATTATCTGGGTGAGTGTTATCAACGATTGCTTTTGATATAAGTGAGGGGATTTTCCTCTCGATATTTTGTATCCCTATAAAGCTTCGTTAGGGATAAATTGCTCACCTACTTACATCTAATATCCAGTACATAAATATCCAGCACATACGTATCGCGCACACCAACATTTAACCCCGGCATTTCCCAGAACAGACATGTGGCTTAACTACATGAGACTTCGCAATAAAAATACCGACGTCCACAGATTGATGCCTCACATATAATCGCAGTAGTCTCCCACAAAGTTGTTCGAAACTTTCATGGGGTGACAAGTGGTAGTTCCACGTTCAGAGCGTAGAGATTATGCAAATCGTCGACTAACTATTGGCAATTCATTGTTAGTGACGCCGTGTTGAGCGCGCGGAATGTGCGTGGTGCCCTCAAACCTTGTAGATATATTCGTAAAAGAGTTTTCCCAATGTTAGTCTATCGATGGGAGCACCCTGTTGTCTCTAGGTCTTTTCCAGATAACGGTATTCTTGTTTTCGGCGCTGGGTCAGTGTCCGTTGTGCGATGGTCAGATGCAGGCCAGCTTCGAGGTGGATGTAATTTCTAAGCCACGCAGCCCCCTAACTTAAAAGTACGTGAAACGATTACTTGTATCGAGAGGACTCATAAAATATGGCCAGCTTAGCAGTTGTATAAATTCAGCAGTATCTTTTGTTCTAAATCGCCGTCTATAACTCCTATGAACGAACTTCGGTCATCTAACATTTATCCCCCCACACAAAATGGCATAAATGGACCACCACCTGCAACACATCATCCCCCCCCCCCCCCAACCACACTATCTGCCCTGCCCACCAGTGTGAAAGACAAGCGACGCCCATAAAGCCTCAGCAGCTGAATGCGCCGTCATGGGGCCAATGACGAGCGCATGATACACTCCGACAATGAACGACATCGGAGGCACACGAGATCGTGGCGTCTTGTGTTCGCCTGCCGCATATGAATACTGCGCCGCACTACCGCACGGCCCGGCGGGCCAGCCCGCCTAGGCGCTCCGCGCCGGGTGCTCCGTGGCGGCGAGAAAGGCGGCCGGTGGAACAGCGGTTTTTCGGCGCTGTGAGTAACAAACATGCCAAAAACGGAAAGGTACTTTGGTTTGAAACATGCCGCGGTTGGCGTTAATTATGCTCATTTATTCAATGGTGTAGAATTTTGTGCTGACTGCTGACTCTTCACACCTCTTTCAAACTCGAAGATATAGCCGCGTGGAAATAAACACGAACGTGTGTGCAAAAGTATTAAGATAACATTATGTTATGTGCCTTTTCCCCGAACGATTTTCCGTAATGTGTCACATATTTTACTGCAAGGAGCAGAGCGGGCAAAAGGTGAGATAACGTAGTGAGATCGCATTGCACTAAGCCCGCCCAGAACACTTTCCGGTTAAAAAAGATGTTTGCACCATTAAAATTGCTCTTTACAAACATATGAACCCCCTAGTAGATAACCAGAGAAAACTTTCAACGGTTCTGAACGGTTCACCATGAAAAAGCAAAGAGCCAGACTCTAAGGACAATTTGATACAACATTTAAGATAGCATGGCTTACCGCATGAGGTTTTCTCTTCAAGAAACAGACATGCATGCAGCCCCTGGTGTCCTGTGGCCGCATTGACATGACCTGAATCTGTTAACGCTTTTGGGGAATTTTACTGTATTACCAGACTTTGCCATGACTTAGGATGCCCTGTGGCTCAGCTTAACATTTCATGAGCTTTTCACGCAAGGCTACAGGCCAAAGCAGTATGCGTGAACATTGAGTAGCCCGTGTACCCAAAATGGCATGCAGCCGGTGATTTCAATTGAACAGCAAGAGCGCGCGGGACTGAAAGTTATGCATCGTCGGACAATTTCATGATGTTTTGGCTTAGCCTCCCATCCCTAGAATCCAATGTTTAATCCTCGCCGTCAGTGGACTGTAGAGGAGCCTGCAAGACTTTACAGAATAATCCATCAACAGTTAGAGCACAATCCTGAAATTTTGTGTGACTGATTGTGTGTTATATTTATGCACGTTGTGAGAGTTTGACGGTTTCAATCTGAAATTTCATGGATCCGTGAGCTTTTTGAGGCCATGTCGGTGACATTTTATCGAAAATAAAGTTTATTTATCAAGAGGAATGTTCTCGATATATTTGCGACGCCAGGTCATCCAACGTCAAGCTAGGTCAAACTTTCACCTTCATAACCAGATCTGAGGTTTTGTGGGCAATGTGATTGAATCATTAGCGGCACATGTCTTACGGCTTTAAAAGCACTTTCTTATGCTGTTTTTCCCATTGATGGCTCTCGATTCTTGATAAGCCAGGCGAGTCAATGCAACAAGAGCCTTCACTGCTTTGATTCGAAATGACACAGCGCAAGTGGCACCTGTCGATGCACACTGTTGTCCATTACCGTCTGTTCCAAGAGATATTCAACGTCGTGTTCCGCTTCGACGTAACACGCTAATTCTCGCGAGAAGAGGAGAAGCCTAACAAATGCACGTTTTGCTCCAATGACTTGAGTTGGACGTCAAATGTCACATTTGTCATGTTTAAGTCGCATTCCATCTCATGTAAATACTCGCGCTCTCCACGGCCGTATTCCCCGCAGCGCCAGCTTGTTAAGTTTTCCAGATCTTCGAAGACATGTTAGAAGATCTCAGGATGTTAGGGAGCCTCTGATGCCACTCCCGTAGGACCAATATAAAAAGACTTCTTGTGGGGCGAGGGCGGTTAAGATCAGACATTTCAAGCGTGTGCTGACAGACATGGAATTAAAGGTTCTTACGTCATCCGTACCGGAACAAATGCAAAAACAAAAAGCAAAACATACCCTCATCGGACATTGCATTTCACCAGGCGATGGCGGATTAAGACCAACCAGCGGCTCACTCTGCACGTCAAACCCCTCGTACAGAAAAAAAAACAGCCTGTCAGCTGTCGCCCACTTCCTCGCTGTCCGCGGAGCCTGGCGCGCGATCACAGAACCAGAGCAGACCAGACCAGATGTCACAGACTGCAGGCGGCCTCAGCTTGGCCGGCAGCCGCACCTACCCCGGGGTGGAGCCGGTGCCTGCGATGTCAGCGACGTTCACCCGTCGCTGATCGTCTACTGGCCTGAGGCCGACACGCTTCGCTGAGAAATGTCCCTCGGCGTCGCGCGCCGCTCGCGCACCCTCCGCGAAACGGCCCGCCCCCAGCACGTCACGGGTGACGTCACCGACGTCGCCGGTGACGTCACTGCCCCGCCTCCGCGGCGGGCGAGCTCTGTTGGGCGCTGCGCATGAGGTGTCGATTGCGTCCCAGGCTAACTCTGAGGCCGCAGTCCTAGAAGACGATGGTGTCCGGCTGTGTCCGGGGCTCCTTTGACGTCAAGGGCGGAGCTGCCGACCAGCCAGCCGTGATGTAGTGGCAAGATCGCCGGCAGGAGGGGAGGGGAAGGGAGGGGGAGGAGTTGTTCTCAGGTGAAAAGATGACTTCTTGATTGAAGAATGGTCTGAAAATCACGGGTTCAGATTTTAGAACCCGGCCCAACCCAATCCGCCCGCCAATCAGGCTTTTTCAGGTTTTCAAAATTCAATCCGGTTCGGTCCGGTTAAGCATCTTTTTTAAAAAAATATGCATCAATCTGTATGCAAGTTGTTTTATTCCGTTATCAAAAAGAAACAGTTGTGTTATATCACCGCGTAGTTCATTGCTCCTCTGTGAGAACTTCTAAAGTTTTATCAAGCTTTAGCTAGCACATCTCGCAACTTTGGGAACTGGAAGGGAGCAAGTAAATATGTGGATTGGCATCAACTCTTCAAGGAAGGAATTTTAGCTAGTGGTGACAAGTATATTATTTTCGACGAGTTTAAAATTGTTTTCCTTTAAGTTATCAACTCATACCGTTTGCGTGATGTAATAATGCCATACCCCCGTTCTTACATCCGTTGTTAACCCACTGCATTAAGCCTCGACATGATCTGTGGTTTTCATGAAGCGGACTGGCAGGGTGGGGGGGGGGGGGGGGGGGGAGGGCTTTGTGATGCTCGCAGCTATGAATTGGTAAGACCTTGGGAGTAAAAACAGTGGATCGGTCTGAGCGAGGTCTTGTGATTGGTAATATGTGTCATATTGCTATATCAAAATTTGACCCCACTAGGCCCGGTCAAATGTAATTTTTCCCTGAAAATAAAACTATTTTAAATTGGCATGCACATATTGCGAAATCGTGCAATGTAGCAGCATGACATAAAATGGGCGTGCTCCCTGTTTCATCACAAGCGGAATCCTACACATTTTTTTTTCTGTTTGGAGCATACGTTAACAGACGCTCGCATGGACGGTTGAATGCCCTTCTCTCGGGGGAGGGACAACTTGAATCCCTAAGATCTCAAAAATTACGCAAGCTGGAGACAAAAACTCATGAGGTGTGTTTGTCTGTATGAAGGCTCACTTGGGTCAAATTTGAGGTTCCCAGGGTCATGACCTTCGGGTCAGATAAGGCCAAGGAAGGTTAAAACTTCGGATTGGTGCCTAAAGTGCCCAGACATTCTTGTGCAACCGCCGTGAGCCTGGATGCCTGTTTTAAGTAAAAGGTCACTGGTGCTTATTTCAAGTCAGTAACCTGTTTGACCCTCAGAATGTCATTGTGACCAAAAACATCAGAAATTATTTCATTTCGAAGTTGAATAAGCGGCTATGATTACGTTAGGTGGCACGTTCCTGCTATCGGAGGGTTGATCTGGGCCACTTTATGCCAGTGACCTACTTTAATTTTTAAGAGTCTGTGGAAGATGTCTGTTGCGGTCCCTGCTATCAATAAATTCGAAATGAGCTTCAGAACTACCCCGTTAAGCAAACCCTTCAGTAAAATAGCAGGTTGAGGTTTGACCTTGGTCTGAGCTTCATGCCTGACTCCTGGTCAATATAATTTGTTGTAATCTTAAATCAAATTGTTGTGTTGCATAAGAATAAACTCAGAGATGTACGACTTTGTCTAAAACTTCGTTGTCGCATCATGTCTAACGATTTCCTAGAAACTGTACTGGCGCTCGTCCCGATGCCTGCAGAAAGTGACAGGGCTTGTTTATGGATTCAAATATGTTCAGTACATTAAAAATAAATATTTTGGCGCCTCACAGCTTATGCAGTGCATGGATAACTGTTAAGTGTTTGTAACAGGAGACCCACGGAATCTTGATCAACTAGTAAAAGTCATGGAGTAAGACCCTGAATTACTGCGTAAGAAGCGCACATACAACGGGATAAAGATGAATCCACCAAAGGACCAGGTAACAACGAGCACTTGACACGCGTTCAGGTGGGGGATCAGCTTGACCGCTCCGAAGGTTTTTCCATAATGGTTTCCGAACGGCGAGGCGTAACCGCGCCAAATTTTGCATAGCTGTAGACAATTGAATCGCAAATCGTTAAGTATCAGACATTTAAATTTATCTGGTAAGGTCCCAGATCTATGGCAGGTCACATTTAGGTCATGGTTTCAGCGAAGTCAATTCCTGGAGCATCGTTCAATCCGATGCAACAAAGGAGTGTTTGACGAAGCCATGCATCTCTGAGATGCTTTCTTAGGCAACACAAATATTTAATGAGCAAATTACGTTGACCTAAGGTCAGGTGTATAGGTCAGACCAAGGTTGAAACCAGTCTGTTTTATTACTCTAGGGCTTGCTGTATGGAATAATTCCTGATGCTCATTTCAAGGTTGTTAACGGCAGAAACCGCATTATACATTTTCCACGGGCTCCCTAGGAGTCATAATAGATAATTGACCTAAAATGACCCAGGTCAACATTTTGTTTTTGGGACAGTACTGCCTAGCGTAAACTTTGTCGCTTATTCAAATGCAAAACTCGGAGCAGTCTTGTATGATTTCGCTCAACATAACCTTCAAAAGGCCAAATGAGGTCACTGACCTTACAGGAGCATGTGACCTTTTGCTTAGAACCAGTTATCTAGGTTCTGTGGACACTTTGGAGACCAAGCTGGAATTTGACCTTGTTCGACCTGATTTGACCCGAAGGTTTTAACCTAAGAACCTCAAACCTTGACCTAAGTGAGTTCACGTACAATTCAACACACCCTGAAAATTCGGTGTTCCTAGCTTTCTTAGTTCCCGAGATCTCAGGAAGGTCAAATTGACCCCCGAGCGAAGGTTATCCAGCCGGCCACCCGGGCGCGTGTTAAAGACATGTCAGTGCATCAGACACCTATCCCACGGGTAGATCTGATTTTGTGATGAGCTCATCACCGTAGTAAAAAAGATGCAGCAACGTGAGTGTTATTTTCTATGAAACCCGTCTCGAACATCACAATTTTATACGGTTCTCCAGCAGTCCGCAGGTATTCTGGTTGTGCTATTTACATCATCGTCATCTGACACTAAATAACCTCATTCGTCAGACAGTGCAATCGCCAATCCTGCCGAATGTGTTATGCTGCTTCACTGCTGTGGGCGCAGCAGCCGCACAGGTACCGCGTTCGAGAAGTATTTTTCGGCCAAAGTGATACTTGTGATACGAATACCAAAGTGATAGCAAGCATTTGAAAGCGTGATCATTGTCAGTACCGTGCGGAGGCAGCTGGGCTGGCTGAATGTGGGTAAACGCTTTAAGCGCCACGTATACGACATGCTTACAGAAGTACAATCGCATGGTCGGTGAAGAGCCAATCCAGTTCGCAGCGCGGTTACAATCAACCTGC